CTCTCCCCGCCCCTCCTTTCGGGCGACCCCGGCTGGGTGGCGGATTCCTGGGCGAAATAGTGGCAAGCGGGGTTTGAGTCTCTGTGTGTCACCCCCGCATTTGTCACGTCCTTCAAGAAGTGCTGTATGGCACGTTTGCAGTTATCTAGGGCTCCACGCCCTTCCCGCCCCTCCTTTCGGGCGACCCCGGCTGGGTGGCGGATTCCTGGGCGAAATAGTGGCAAGCGGGGTTTGAGTCTCTGTGTGTCACCCCCGCATTTGTCACGTCCTTCAAGAAGTGCTGTATGGCACGTTCTTGCAGTTATCAACGAAAGCCAGCGCGCCTTTGGCGATCTTGGCAGATGCCCTGAGTGCGAGGCGAGCCTCTGGGGCGACCGCGGCCCCTGTCCCAGCCGCCCTCGCCCCTCTCGGCGGCTAAGGGGGTTCCTCAGAGGGCCCCCTGCCTCGGGTAGCATCCCTTGTGTGGTGCCTAAATGCTGAAGCTCTGCAAACTAAGGGCAGCAGGCGATCTCTTTCCTCGCCCGCAGGCTCCACCGCCATGAAGGTGAAGATCAAGTGCTGGAACGGCGTGGCCACTTGGCTCTGGGTGGCCAACGACGAGAACTGCGGCATCTGCCGGATGGCTTTCAATGGCTGCTGCCCGGACTGTGAGTGTCCCCCTGTGCTCACTCTGGAGCTCCACTACTCGCCCTGCCCTGGCGTCTCCCCCAGAAATAGCCGCACAAAGTCCCTGGGTTTTGGTTTCCCGTTCCTCAAGATAAGTTGGCAGAGAAAAGGCAAGCCGCTGGAGCCCGTATTTGTATAATTACCCCATCAAAAGTTTTGTAAGGAAAAATAGTGCAGCCTTTTATGGTGATCACACAGGGCTGGGGAACACGTGGAACAAAGAGATGGGTTAAAACTTTTTATTTGAAAAATTTCAAACAAAAAATAGAATATTATAAGGATACTCACCTCCCACCCCACCCCCCCGCCATTGTGGCACGCAGAGTAACAGTGAGTAACATTCCGTGTTTGCTTGGGGCTTTTGAGGAAGTGTTTTAAGGTAATGGATGACATGACACTGCGCTCCGCTCCCTTCTCTGGCATCTCTAAATGTAAGTCCGCTGTTGTCACATCAGACAACGTGAAGACGATTTCTTAGTGTCACCCCCCATTCCTAGTCTTTGTTCTCATTTTTGCGGTTGTCCCCAAATGTCTTGTTCTTGGGTGGTCTGAGCCAGGGCGTCACATTTGGTGTCTTTGCTCCTTAGCTGTTTGGTCTAGATCAGTCTTTTTCAAGACATCTGACTCCTTTAGGAAGCTCAATGTGTTGTCGTCCTGCAGAATGCCTACCATGTTTTTTTTCAAATTTCTCCTTTGTGATGTCTCTTGCCTTTTTCCTTTGTCACTGGTAGGAGAAACGTGTGATTATACATTTAGGTCCAAAGCAGATTTCTGCACCAGTGAACTGAGATTTTAGTCAGACCCAAGTGAACATAAAGCAGAAGCAAGGGTCAGGGCTTTGCCTAGCGGGCAGGGGCGGCCCCAGGAGGAAGGTGGGGCTTGGGGACTACTGTGGAGAGCTCCTCACTGCCCTGTGAATGACTAGGCCTATTTTGTGGGGCCAGGTGAGTGCTCAGAATCATAACGGGGCTTTGCTTCTTGCAGTGAAATGCAAATCATTGAATTTCAGAGCAAATGCTATTTTATTCTGGGCTTAATCTTTCTATCTGCCTTGGCTGAAAGGAAATCTCACGGAGGAATTAATCCAATCCAATTTGATTCAATCAAATGGGTGGGACTTACTCAGGCAGCCCTTGATCGGCTGTACTTGATCAGAACAGCACCCACAAAGCCCAGTTTTGTTTCATCTATTTTAAATCGTCTTTCCTAAGCGGGATCCAGAAGGAGCAAATTCTTACAACTTTCTAAGCAACATGATTGTTACCGCGAAGGCACTTTTGTGGCCGAGCCTTCAGGAGGGGCGGGCGAGCGACCTGTGTAAAGGGCCTTGCAAGTGCCAGTCCAGCTGGGCTTGTGGCTGGCCATCTCCGCATGTGCCACCTGCCTAGGTGTCGTTGAAGCGGGCCTGCCAGCTGCGGAAAGTAAGGGTCCGGAGTCTGATCTTCGGACCTGCTGGGTGTTAAGTGAGAGTGAGCAGCTGGCTTGTAACGTACAGGGTGTCAGACAAGCCTAAGGTGCCTCGTGTGCAGACTAAGTGGCACCGAGTTCCTCTTGTGAAATGGACTCCTGCGGAAAACCAAGGGCAGCTGTGGCTGTCACAAAGCCACCCCGCCCTGGAGGGCCGGGGTGTCAGTCTGTTGAGAGGTGTTTTAACCGAGGACTTTTATCCAGATACTAGCAGCCCTTGCGTGAGTTGCTGTCCTTGTGCTCATCACATGCCCTGGGCAGGCCCCTTCCTCCAGGCAAGGTCTGCACTGGGGGCCTGGTGTCCTGGTCGGTGGCGAGTGTGGCACCCCCACCAGTGTGCTGGCTGGCTCCTGCTCATGGTTTTCCATCCCGTTTGTAAGGGACTCTAGTTTTTGTAGGGCGATCCCGAGCAGGCTCTTCTGAGGTTGGGAAGGCACTAGGGGTGTGGTGGGCTCTAACCCCGATGCTGAGTGTCACCACCCGGGCTCCTGGCACGGGGCCTGCTCACCCCTCCCCCATGGCCTCAGGAGTAGTGAACAACATCATTTTGTGTTTGACAAGTATGTAGTTTTCTGGTTGTTTTGTCATAAAAGCTTCAGGAAGGGAGTGACAGTTTTGTTATAGAAAGGATTTTTTAAAAGATTGAGAAACACTGCCCCAAACAAGTGAAGAAGGTAGGGCCGAGGCTAGCCCTCCCCCCACTCGGCGGGATGGATACCATGCGCTCAGGGATGGGGAGGAAGCTGCATGTCCTCAGCAGACGCTGAAGCCCACGTTTGTCCCTGACCCAGCACCCACCGTGGTGGCCCGACTGCAAGGTGGGGTGACGCGCAGGCTGCAGGGTGCTGAGGCTGGGTGAGGGCACAGGCCAGGTTCTCAGGCCCTCAATCTGTGCGGGGCAGACACTAAGTGGGGTTTGGAGCTTGGCTGTGGTAGTGTTTCTAAAACATGGCGCAGGCTCATGTGCTTCCACGTCTAGTGTCAAGAGTTAGGACCAGGACCACAGGTGACCAGTACTGGCCTGTGGTCGTGAGCACTGAGGGCATGCGTTGTAAACGGAGCTGCTGCCTCGATGAGATGTCCCCTGTGCAGCAGGCCCCGGCTCGCCCGTGTGGTTCCTCGTGTGTGCAGCAGCGACTCTGGATCCAGCCAGCACTCCGTGGGTGTGGAGGCCCCCAAGTCACTGGCGTGGGGGCGAGGCTCCCGCAGAGAGGGCGGAGCATCGGGCTTCAGCTCCTCCTCGAGGTCCCTGGGGACCCTGCTGGCACAGCTGGCTGGCACGGTTTCTCAGTCTCAGTGTGGGGTGTGCTCTCTGCACCAAGCCTGTGTGTGGAGGTCGCATTTCTGGTGTGGCGCGCTGTGCCGGCAGCATGAGCGTTGCCTTGGAGGCGAGACCCTTTCAGGCGAGAACCGAAAAAGTCGTGGACGGTAGCTCCTCGCTCGTTCCCAGCCTGCAACAGGCTGAGCATAAACTCCAGTGTGCCCAGTTCCCTCCTGTGTACTGTACTGGGTCCCTGCCACCTAGGGGAGGAAACTTCCAGGCCCCAGACCCAGTCTTTGTTCTTGATCAAGAGGGAGAGACGGTGCCTACTCAGATGTGCGCCTTCTGAGCGGGCGCCTGGACATGGCGACGTCACAGCTTTGGCATCTCAGGTCCAGCGGCCAAGCTGCCCTCACCTGAGGGGTCGCCGCAGGTCTTCGCTCAGGGCGGCCTTGTGGCAGAATTGGCCGCAACACACTCCTGAAACGTCTTCCCTGAGGCCCTGCCCACCCGTGCGCCTCCTTGCTACCTGGCTTGTCACATGCCCTCTCTGACCCGCACACCCTCTCCGTCCCCTGTGCAGGCAAGGTGCCGGGCGACGACTGCCCCCTGGTGTGGGGCCAGTGCTCACACTGCTTCCACATGCACTGCATCCTCAAGTGGCTGAACGCGCAGCAGGTGCAGCAGCACTGCCCCATGTGCCGCCAGGAGTGGAAGTTCAAGGAGTGAGCCGGCCGCTCGCCGCCCCCGCGCAGACGGATGCACCCCAGGCCGTGACAGGGCGAAACGAGACTGGACCTGTGCTGTCTTCTTCATCACGATGTTGACACTTTTATTGCATAAGGAAAACTCATTAAAGCGCCTGAGCCTTGCTGGAGGCCTCTGGCTGCCTGTTTTCCTGGTGCTTGATGCGTCCAACGGCCTACGTGTGTGTTGTTATGAAAACTCATGAATAAACATCGCTGCGGGGCTGCTGAGGCCCTGAGTCACAGTCCCCGATGAGAGGCGTGGGATGAGCTGGGAGAGCCCGGGGCAGGAGCGGCTGGCTCGGGCTGGAAGGGCCGGTGCCGCAGAGGCCCTGAGGTCTGTTCTTGCCAACAAGCAGCAAAGGAACCTTGGTGCTGAGGCCCAGGGCCCATGGGCCAGCTTCTCACCTGACGGAGGCCAGCCTGGGGCCCTGGGGACCGCCCCCAGTCTGGTCTGTGGGACCCTAGCTGGGCACTGCTGGTGGCCACTGCCCACAGTCCCCCCTGCCTGAAGGCTGTCCCAGAGCAGGTGCTGGTCAGGCCGAGGAGGTGGGCTGTGAGGGTGCCACGGCACTCTGCGCCTTCCTTGCCCAAGCTAAAGGTTGGCTCTTCACTGAGGCCGACACCCAGCGTTGGGACCGATGTCCCCAACATCAGGCCGTGTGTCCCTGAGTGTCTGAGGGCCTCCGCCACCTCGGGACGGACAGCTCTTGGGAGGCTCCTTTGGGCTCCTCTGCACCACAGCTCCCGTGGGCTGGCAGGCCCCCGGGGGGGCCACTGTCCCGGCCCCAGGACTCAGGCAGCTTCTGGGTAGAGACGGCTTTAGGCCACGTGTCCCTGTGAGCTGCTGTCCTTTCTCCAGGACCCCCATCCCGGGGTCACTGCCCTGGGCCCTGTAGTAACCCCTTCTATCCAGTGGACGGCAATTCCTGAGTCTGCCTGTCCTCAGCCCCCAGGAGAGAAGACAGGACAGTTCACTTGGAGGGGCAGGCCTCCTGGTCACCCGTGTGGCACCCTCCCACCACCCAGACGTGCCCAGAGGAACAGGCCCGGGGACCGTCGCCCTCACTGAGCCCTGAGATCCAATGCCCCTGCCCAGAAAGCCAGCTGCAGGGCCCCTCGCTGGCTGCTGTCCTGGGAGGACATACCCAAAGGAGGACACATGAACAGGATGTTTGGGGAGCATCAGCAGGGGAACGGGTGCCTGGGCCTAATGTCTGACGTCGCCTGGCAGGGGAAGGCAGGTGGCTCCACCTGGTTCTCCCTCAGGCCCTGCAGACAAAGTTACATCTGGCCTTGGGTCCTGGGCAGCCACTCTGTGCAGTGTGTTCGGATCTGCGGAGCCCCAGTGGGGTCAGGAGGGGGAAGTGGCCTGTGGCCTGCCCCCTGGACTTCTGCGTTTGTTGAGGGTTCTCTCCTGTGACAGAAGTGCCCCAAAAGACCCAGCCTCCCAGGCTTTTCACCATCATCCATTGGGATAGGTGCTCTTAGCCCAGATGGGTTTGCCCCAGGTCACACAGCACCGTGCTGAGGGCCACCCCCACCTCCTGCCACTGGGACTCATTGCCATGTCCTGGGTTCCAGCCTGGTTCTCAGGGCCTGCTTGGTACTCTAAGTTGAACGCCGACTGCCTGCCAGGCCCCAGACACACCAGAGTCCAACCGTCTGCCTCCTCCCAGGAAGCTCAGGACCCCATGCTCTCAGCCCGCCCTCCCTCCCCAGCCCCTTCTGCCAGAGGCGCAGGCTCACACCACACACCTTCGCAGACTCCTCGTCCCCCAGTGAGCCATCCTGCCCACCCTGTCATCGTCTCCATTTCCCCCCTCCATTGTGGTGGCTTCAGTCACGGACTGGGTCCAATGCCTCTGGACGCTGGCACATAGTAGGTGTTCAATAAATGAGCTGTTGTTAGGCAGTGACATGTCTCCCTTTCCTTAGACCAGCCCGGGACGTGTGGGGCGAATGGAGAGAAGGCCTCCAGTCCCTGAGGCCACCACCTCAGGGGCCTCTGGTCTGTTCAGAGGGGGCTTTTCCTGGAGGCCCATTGTCCCACAGGAGGGGTGGGAGCAGACCCCTTGGTGGAGCCTGCCCCAAGCCCTGCCCTGGGCCAGGCCTCTTCAGGGTGGGGGAAAACTGTGCCCCCCTCCCCGGCTCAGTGTGGTCAGTGGCTGCGTAGGGAGCACTTGGGACCTCTGGGGGGTGACTCCTAGGGCTGGGGGGGCCCTGGGATAGGTTGGGGATTCAGTGCAGTCCGACTGGTCCCTGCTCTGAGACCAGCAAGCAGCAGACCATGGTGATGGAAGCTGCCTG